AGGCTCTCCCAGCCCCGCTCAGAAGTCAAGAGCAGCAGCGCCGCCGCCTCCGTGCGGCCTTTCAGGACGCGGCCTGTCCTTATCCTCGTGCCTCGCCCTCTCTGGTCGCCCCGGACAAAGCCCCCGGTGCCGGCCGCTCCCTTCCCTCTAAATCTCCTTCGGGTCAATGCGCTACCAGCACCGGGCCGCGCGCTTTCCCTGCCAGCCTTGTGCTCTTAAAGAGCCGCACCCCCTACCCCCGCCCCGCTCCCCCGACCCCCGCCTCTCGCCCTTCTCTGGATCTAGCCCCCCACGCTGATGCCCCGACCGTCGCCCGCGGACTCCTAGCCCCCCTCCCCTCGCCTCCTCCCCTGAGCAGTTGGTAGGCCTGGCCTTGGGGCCACAGAGCTGAGTTCTACCCTCTGCCTCAGTCCCCTTTCTCGCCAACAGAGTCCACCCCTCTCTTCCCCAGTCCTACCTTTGCCCTTTAGATGAATCAAGGCCCCGACAACGCATTGCCCAGCTCAGAGATGGTCCCTAGAGCTCAGCAGTTGGGGCTTGAATTAGGGTGACCTGGGTGGCAAATCGGTCGGGGCACACCGGTTGAGCAGCGGAAGAGAGCAAAGAGGAACCAAGTGGACTTAGAAGTCTCTGCTATCCCAGGGGCCTATCAGGCCTTTGGGCAGAGAGTGAGGGCTGCTTTGGAATGGTGTTCTGAGGTTGCCACCCTGGGCAGCCTGCTGTATGTCTGAGGGATTGTGGGCATATGGGGGAGGGGCACCTACAGAAGGCCCAGAGTATGGCTCTGAGAGCAGCCTGCTCCCCAAGTCCAGTGCATGAATCCCCCCAAAGTAACCCTTAAAAGCCCAAGAGCTGGTTGAACAAGGAGGGACCTTGAGTGACAACTGTCCAGGGAAAAGGGCATAGGAGGAGGGAGGGACAGCGACGAAGGGGTGTCTACTCTGCAAGAGGACCGTAGCACAACTTCTAATAAGGTTCTTTATATTTGCTTCAGAGGGGATGTAGTTGGTGACTTTGGTCCCCCTTCCTTCCAGAGCAATCCCTCTCTTCCTCTCCCTCAAAGCCTTTTTCAGACCCAGTCTCACCCAAGCAGCCAGTTGATCCTGTCCAAGGTGACCTCCCTGAGCACTCTCTTCAGCTCTTCTGATGCCTGGCAGCGTGATGAGAGAGAGACCAGCACGGCCATGGCTCTCTTGTGGAGTGGGCAGGGTAGACTGTAGTACCTTGCCTTCCCTAGTGCCAAGGGGCATAACATGGTTATGTGGATGCTGAGGGCAACGATGGTTTGAGGAGGTGAGAGTGCACATCCCTTTCCAAATCTGAGTCCTAGCACGCCAACTCTGGTTGTCATGAAGGCATCCCTGCAAAGGAGCAGGTGGCCTCCTGGGTAGTGGAGACCAAAGGAACTTGGGGATGGAAAGCTGACCCACCCCTGGGCATCTGTCCTCTGCCACCCCCATATTAGGCCAGGTGCATCTTTAAGGCACCGGGGTGACTAATTGGCCAATTTGGGACAGGTTGGCAGTGCACTGCCTGGGCTACAATCCGAGGCCTCAAAATCCAATCCCCAACCTGTAAGGCTCCTGTCCTCCACATCTCCCACCTCTCTCTTTCTCTCTCGGGGCTGGGCTGGGTTTGTGCCCGCTCTCCTAAGCCTGCCAGTGGGAAGTGCAATGGCCCAAGATAGAGCCAAACTCCCCGTTTGAGGACGTGGGAGGTGGAGGCGGTGGCGGTGGGGCTCATTAGGCAGAGCAGGGTGCGGAGGTGCCCGCCGCCAGCCCCGGAGGCCACCTTTGAGCCGTGGGGGCGGCTTCATTAAGCGGCGCTAACAAGGCTTACAAATGCCGGGCCCAGCAGCTTTCTTGCAGTGGCGGGGCCTTAGCAGGGCGCCAGGCTAATGAGGGTCACTCAAAGGGGCTGATCAAATATTCAAATTTCACCGCGCGCCGGGAACTTTTATGTGCGGAGAAAGTTGAGGCAACTGAGCTGTGTTTACTGTCCCGGCCACAACTGCTTGGAGCTCGGGTCCCCCCAGACGCTGCGGCGGCGGGGGGCGAGGGTACAGAGAGGGAGCAGTTGTTTTGTTGTTGTTGTTTTTCATTCAAGGAAAGTAATCGGGGTCCTTGAAGGTCTTCCCGGCCTCCCCGCCTGAGTGCTGCCCTCCTCTGCGCCCTGCGCCGCCGCCTGTGCCAAACACCCCAGTTTGTAGCTCGCCGGGAGGCCCAGACCGCCGGCCACCCGGCCGGACCCCGCCTCCTCCGTCGTCCCGGGTGCCGGAAGGGGCGTTGCCCCTCAGGACTAACCGGCCGCAAGGAGCCGAGCAAGGCCGAGTGAGTAGGTGCAGCTGCCCAGACCTCTGATCCTCTTCTCTCAGAGGCTTGCAGACCCTTGGGCTTTATATGGACCCGAAAGGAGGAGAGAGGGGGAGTCTAGATCGCCGTCCCCGGTGGTGTTGTGAATGCCGGGGTCGGGGCTGACATTTGTAAACAAATGCCCAGTAGGTCCTGGTGGAGAAAGACACTCTCCAGCTCTACCGCCCTTTCTCCTCGCGCCACCTGTACACTGTCCTTCCTGTCGTCTGGGCGAGAACGGAGCAGGGATGCTGGTGGCAATTTTGTGACCTCAGCGTGTCTGGGCGGCCAGACGGCAGGAGAGACCTACAGGCCCCGCAGGCAGACCTATCCATTCGGGTCTCCTCGCTCTGATGGAGTCTCAGGTGCAGGCGCCCCCTACGCGCGCCCCCCACCCCCGTTCCAGGCGTCCCCCCAGGTTCACCTCCCGGCCTTCTCGCAGCCCAGCTCCTGGGGCGTTAGGGAAGGCGGCCTGGGCCCTGGTCCTTCTGCTTTTAACCCCCTCCCCAACGCTCAGGGCCTGGGGATTTGGGAGGGGAAACCCCGGTGCTCCACAGCCCTCGCACCCCGGTCAGCACTCCTAGACCGAGACCCTGCCCAGCCTGCGCTCCCAGAGCCGCCGGGAGCCAGTCTAG